GGAGCAGGCAGCTCCTGCACGGACTGGGAGCCCCTTTCCCCATCGGGCTCGGGAACCATGAGCAGCGCCGTGGTCCTCGCCCACCTCCCAGACCCCAGCAGCAGCTTCAGGGAAGACGCCCCTCGACCCCCTGTCCCAGGGGAGGAAGGAGAGGCGCCATGCCCGCAACCCCTCAGCTCGTTTCTCCCCAAAAGCCAAAGCTTCAAGGCCATGCCGGTGCCTCCTGCCCCGCGGAGGAATGAGAACGGACTCGGGGAGCCGGAAGGCAGCGCATCCCCAGACTCCCCTCTGGCCAGATGGACCAAATCTTTGCATTCCTTGTTGGGAGATCAAGATGGTGCCTATCTTTTTCGGACCTTTCTGGAAAGGGAAAAATGTGTGGATACCTTAGACTTCTGGTTTGCCTGCAATGGCTTCAGGCAGATGGACCTTAAGGATACCAAAACTTTAAGAGTAGCCAAAGCTATATACAAGAGGTACATCGAGAACAACAGCATCGTCTCCAAGCAGCTCAAGCCTGCTACCAAGACCTACATAAGGGATAGCATCAAGAAGCAGCAGATAGATTCTATCATGTTTGATCAGGCACAGACTGAGATTCAGACTGTGATGGAGGAAAATGCTTACCAGATGTTTTTAACTTCTGATATATACCTCGAATATGTAAGGAGTGGAGGAGAGAATCCTGCTTACATCAACAGCAACGGACTGGGGAGCTTAAAAGTTGTCTGTGGCTATCTCCCGACCTTGAATGAAGAAGAGGAATGGAGCTGTGCAGACTTTAAAAACAAAATCTTGCCTTCGGTAGTTGGACTATCCAGCAAGACGTTGAGGGTTACGGCGAATGTCAGAGCTACGGAAACGATGGAGAACGGATACAGGTAGGAGAACCCCTGGAAATGGCGCTTTGTTTTAACTTTAAGGACTTTGAGAGTGCGTTTCGGAAGGCTGGTGGGGTGGTGTGCTGGGGAGCTGGCAGGGAGGCGAGGGGAGGCTGGGCTTCCCGTGGGGCTGGGAGTGCGGGTGCTGCCCCGCACCTCCAAACACTGGAATTTGGGGGGTGTTGGCTGAGTTTGGGGTTTTTTTCCGCCCCCTCTGTACAGAGGGAAACAGATACTGTGCTCTTAAGCCCTGTTTGCTCTTTCAGTTCTCTTATAGATCAAAAACTTCATAGCAACTGTGTCCTCCGGACATACGCTAATTATTGGTTCAGCTTTCAAACCTGTTACGAGCAGTAGTAGAGTGGATCATAGAGACGCATGAATAATGTAACCTACTAGTTCCCCAGCTCCACCATCAACTGGTGTTTAACTACGTTGGTTATGTGGGAAGCAATTGTGCGGTCGTGGAGGAGGAAATGTATGCACTCATTGCATCAAACTCTGCAACTTGCACAAAAATTTTTGCCTTTATTTTGACCATGTGTGTGATGTGCAGCCTCTCCCGTCGCGTGGGGTGTTGGTTATCGTGTCAAGGCCATTTGGGGTGGCTGTGAGCCCATGCATGCAGGAGGATACTCGAGTATTAAGGTAGTAGAGGTGTTCCAGGTAGAGTCATAGTAGATCTTTGGTGCTCTCCTGTAGCTCTTCGGTGCTCTCCTGTTGGCTGTGTGCTCAAAGTTAAACTCGTTAAAACATGGTTGTGTGTCGTGGCAGCTCCTGAGGACGCGGGGAGTGTTGTGTGGTGTTGGGGGGTCTTGGCGTGCCCTTGGCTCGGGGTGCATCAGTGTTGGCGAACCCTTCGCTGGTGTTGTTGGAAATGTTGATGGCACAGCAGCGCGAGGGGGAGGAAAGTAAGAGCCATCTCGGAGTGAAGGGGGGGATGGGAAAGAGAGGCTCTGATGAGCAAATGATGAGTTGTATAATCCTCTGAAAATGTATTCTTTCCTCTCCCCACCCTTGCCATAAATGTGGATTGTTGAATCAGGGCTGCGAGGAGAGGGCTCTGCTGGCAGATGCGCGCTCTCCTCCGCTGGCCCAGGAGCTCGGGGTTTGCTATGGTGAGTGCTTGACATCTCGTTTACAGGAATTTTGAGAGCGTGTCTGTGATTCATGGACATCAAAGGGCATCGGGCTTCTCCCGGAGAGCCTTTGCTGGAGCGCGTCCTCCTCTCCTGCCCTGCAGAGAGCTTCCAGCTGTGCCGGGCTTCCCGGTGCTGAGCCCCTGGTGCTGGGGGGGGGGTCCCTTTGCTTGCAAGGGTGCTGCTGGGCTGGAGGCCTCTTGGTCCTGTCCCTCTCGGGGAGGCCCTCCCTGCAGGAGGGGTGATGGAGGGGTGGTGGGCGTGGGTGCAGGCAGGAGGGATGCGTTTTGTCCCGGTGGCCTCTGGA